CAGATATGAATTTTGAAGAGGAGCATCCAACAGTTCAATCTGAGAATTCAGCGCTTTCGGCAGAAGTCCCTCAGCCGTCTACAAACCCCGAACCAGATGCGACGGAAGAAGATATCATCAGCGAGCCAGTAGAAATGGATCATCACCCAAGTGGAACTCCTGATCGTGATGTTCCACCATTGGCAGCCGGCTTTGAGGAAACATCCCAGCCAATGGAAACAAAAAGCTACATAACCGTTCATCGGAAGGTTCCTGAGATCCTTGCGATGTGGTATGAATCACGTCAAGAAGTGATTGTTGTCTACCTATTTGAATCACGCATTTACTAGAAATTCTCCTTGGATGGCGGATTCAATATGCGAGCAATTCTGCAAGATCTTGCAAGGGATCATATCTTTCTGGTGGCCAATCAGTATGGGCTTGGAACTCCAGATGTGAACAGGGTGTATGAAACAGCTTTGGAAGAGCGATTGATATTGGTTGCTAAAACAGACAATCCAAGTCACGAAAAAGGGCTGGAAGGGACGATCTCGTTGGATAAACTTCGAGATTACGTTTTGAACTATGATGTTCATACGGGGAAGAGAAAAGCAGATTCTGCAGCCAATAGACCCGGGAAGCGCCAGAAAGAAAGGACATATGAGGAGTGATTGAAAATAATGATTTGCATACAACAAATTATTTACCAATGTAAGTCCATCAGAGGGTTCTTATGCAAAATTCTCTCATTCCGGTTTAGATTCCATAAACTCCGTTATAAGACGATTCAGGTTAAATGAGCTTTAAACCGATCTGTGCATATGGGCATTGTAGATTGGAGATAGGCATCTGCTCAAAGAGCAACACAAAGACCAATCAAAGTCTTTAAATTGACTAATTAAATTTCACTAAGCAATGGATATTGGAAGGGATCCGCCCACAGTCATAAGAACTGAGAATTCAAAGCACCACGACTCTAAGATATACTAACTCCACCAACAAGATGAACATACAACCCCTCATTCTGTTGCAAAGAGTCGTTGATGCGTCCACATTCACGACAAGTCACCCAAAAGTCCCACTCCTGTTTCGCCCAAGAAACGTTTCTTTCAAACATGATTTGGTCCTTCCTCTTAGAGATAAATGCCCGCTGTTTCTTCGATGATAGAAGGTTGGTTTCCTCTAGGCAACTTGCGCATAGTGTATTGATGTTGATGCGCCGCTTGGCAGGGAGTAAGTATGACCAAAAGCAAACAAGATAGGATCCAGGCTCGTGTGCTATAAATTTGATTTTCATGCGATGGGAATCGCTATCATGGCAAGAAACACAGAACCAGGAAACTTTTCCGTTCATTCTAGAAACTGTTAGTCTATATATTATTTCCTGGATAATATAAAGCTTACGTTCAAGCCTGCTGAAACCTTAGATGGGTGATTCAGGACCAAAAAAGGCAGTAATTGATGCCTAACAATGACTTCTGTTTGCAAGTTTGAATCTGATTGATGTCAGGCTGAAGATTCTAGCAAACGCTACCGGTCATACCTGGGGTTACGTCGTTACTTATGCCACGACTACGTCGCCTTCTTCCAAACCCCGGAACTATGAGGCCGCCCCATAAGACGGTTCAGCGTGGTTTATGCCACGACCCCACGAACTCGTAATGAGCAAACTACCTACCAGGTGGCTAGCGAGGTGAGTTGTCATAGAAATAAAATGAGGCCGATCAGTCGGTGGTGCCTTGAATCAAAAACAGTGTCGCACAGGGTGTCACAAAGGGTGTCGCAAGGGATGTCGCAAACCGTGTCGCGATGGTTGAAAGGTTATTGCCACGGATCTGTGGGTAGTCTATCCCAACTTTTGTGGACATTTAAATCAGCAGACGTGGTACACAAAGTCGTGGCTTTTCATAAAATTTTGTTTGCAGAGATACTATACCCTTTGTATCGTTCTTTAATCCCTTTTGAAGATAACACAAATGGCTCTTTCTATTTTCCTGCTTCTCGCTAGCTTTTACATAAGCGCCGCCTTGAGTGGCACTCTTGAAGTTATTGATTACGATGGTCAATGTGTGATATGGTCGAATGATAACAATGGCTGCACGGGATACTCAGCATCTTTTGGCCTCCTTGATGGAAACAGCTGTTCAGGTGAATAAAAATCCCACTTATTTACCATTAGTATTAACAAAGCCCTAGATATAAGCAAGGTTACACATGGTGCACGAAAAGACTACTCAACGTTAAATGTGGATGCTTGTGGCACGGAAAGCGACCGACCTGTGGCATGGATAGAGGTAAACGATAATGGGGTTGTTGAATTTTTCAACCAAAATGGAGACCAGACAGGATGTACATTGGAGAATGGATTAAAGGTTGGCAGCTCGTGTATTGCTTCCAAACTACCTTCCGCATCGTCTCCATTGACATCCTCTGCATTGGAGCCTTCATTGTCGGTGTCGTCTTCATTGGCCTCTTCTTCATTGGCATCGTCTTCATCAGAATCTTCCTCATCGGCATCGTCTTCATCGGAAGCTTCTCCATCTACCGCAACAGCATCATCGGGTTCGATCTCTAGCTGCACTGGGTTTGAATAAGAGAATCGCTGAAAGCTACACGAGTGAGCTTGTCCCTTCGAATTTCAAAGATCACATAGCTTTTTCTCCCGCTCTTAACAAGCATATTGGTCTCTTTGGATGTGGTTTTGCCCTAACGGGTTTTCCACATCACTAGCGTGAATGCGAAGGAGGTCTCTTATGTTTCGTTGTTCTGAATTTGTACTTACTTCATTGATGTACTTCATTGATGTATACCATCAACTCACTAGTTTCTAGATTGATTAATGTCTCGAGAAAATCAATTACGTTACTTCAGATATACTAGATGGGGTCAGACCGAGATATGGCACTGGTCCCGCTTCCCCCTATCCAAAATATACCAAAAACCTTTGTAAATGCAGTCATCAAATTCAATACATATCCAAATCACCCTGCCCAGGGTCATTCATTTACGGCCTTGATTTCGGGTGCTGTGATTTGCAAAGAAGCTCCGGTCGCAAGATCATGAAGCAACCGTCAGTGAGTTTTTTTTCGCATTATTATCAAATTGGGAATCTTCTATTATGAAATAATCTAGTCCGTTGAAAGGAGATGAGTTCTTGACTTGACAAAGCAAGCTAGGAAGTCATGATCCAGTTTCCAGTTGCCATTACATTACTTCTCCACAACGGTCGCAGGCTTTGCTAAGCCAATGATAAGGTCAGGGGAAGAAACAGGATAATATATCTATCTACTCTATGGTCAAGGAATGTGCCGTTAATCTCACATCGTTCAAACATATTCGATTCAATAAGTGGCCAGTGAGGAAGAATCTGAACTGTCGTTTTTTCGATAGTCAGTATCGAAGTCGTCACACTAGTCAGTGTTCTCATCAAAGCGCATGAACTCCATAAAGAGATCATCTACAGAGCTCATATGCGAATCTTCAGAAGTAGTTGGAAGAGTGGCGGTGAGAAAATAATCATCTGGGCTCGGCAATGTTCCATCACCCAAGTTCTCGAAAATAGTTCCTGTGGGCTCTGTCTGAAGCTGCCACTTCCTTTTTCGATTAACACAATTTGACCGAGGCTCTTCGATTGAATGTGCATCAAAGAAGTGCCGCCGTAGATGTAAGGTGTCAACATACTTCCTTTCTTTGCAGCATGGATGAGGGCAGAAGACTACGACTGAAGAGTCCGCTGACCCTAAGTGCTCGTCAATGTGATTCAAAAGAGTTGCTTTTGCAACCCATTGTTGAAATCTCTCGTCTGGTTTCTTGCTTTTGTCGCTTAAGCAGAATGGACAGAATCCTGGGGCAACAAGTGTGGAGCGGAAGGTTAAGAGACCACATCGGGGGTTGAGGCTATCGAGATGGCATTTGCAATGATTCTTCCAGGAATCTTCGTTAAGGAAGAGTTCAGCGCAAAGATAACAAAATTGAACAAAGCTGCGCTGTACGCGTCGATGGGCGCGCTTTTCGTTCTTGTAGCGCTGCTGGTATTGTGGACCATTCAAGGATTTTCTTCGACACTGTAGGATATGCTTGGCTCTCCCTTGCAGTGGAATGCTGTTTTCTTATCAACCTTTTAGTTCATAGCAATATTCAGGTACACTCACTCTAGTATGGACTTATTGCAAATTGGACAGCAGCCTTCTTCGGGGGCCATGCCGGGATAGTAAACGGTACGTTCTGTCGAAGTGCAAATAGTGACCATGTCTTCCAGGCACTGTCGACCAATTTCACTATCTAGCGTTGCCTTCTTCAATAGATTCTCGCTGAGACGAGAGCGCTCTGGTAGATATTTCTTGTAGATGTCGAAAAGAGGTGTTGAGTCGCGTTCGGAGAAGTCGTTCCCAGACACATACTCAGCGTATGAAGTATCCCACCAGTTTTTGACAAAATCCTTCTTCCAGGCTAGCAATCTTTTTGCTTTCTTGCTATAAAGACGAGCCCGTTCAAACACGAGGTCCCTATTTTCTTCCAATCCTCCAGCAATCTCCTGGGTCATGTGGGCAATTCTCTGATTCATCTTAACAATTTCATCGTCGGTTTGGAATTTTTCGATCGTAGCTGCATTCAGTTGGAGTGGCACGTTCGAGTCTCGGTGATGAGACATGCTTTGTTCCATATCGCGGCATTCATAGTCAGGCTCCAAATCATAGAATAAGGCCTGTATATCCAGTGCCTTGAGAGAAGACTGATATTTTAAATAGGTGTCATGATTCTGGTGATCGAGAGCCTGACCGCGAGTAGCCTGAGAAGCCTTGGCTGAAATTCATTAGTAATTTTGAGGCGTGACGGCACAGATGCACTTACGGTCAATCTTGTTGGCGATACCTCCTCGAATCCCATGAACACGCAACTGATCTTTGAAACCATCGCGCTGAGCCAAGCTAGTGAAGTTATGCCGCAATGAGGAGAAGGTCAATGCCTTTGTTGGTTTGGGTCCTTCAGAAGTGACCATTCTGAAAAATGGGAGATCTTTTGCAGTTTCGTTCCATTCCAGGGTCCATGACTCTCTTCCCTTGGGTGGTTTTGCGGCAAGAACCTCTGTCACAGTGGTATGCCCTTTGAAGGCACCATCTGCTACTCCATGAACAATGACCCAGAAGACAAAACTCTTTCCAAGTACCGGATGTTCTCTGAACCAATTCTTTGGCCTAAAGTTTCTATATAAGCATTTGCCCAATGCAATTATTTCAGTTAACAAACTCACAAGGTAGTATCGTCGCGATAACGCCAGCCTTTCAAGAATTCGGGATCAATTGTCACCCAACGTCTCAAAGACCCCCTTTCCTTGCTCCATTTGAGATGAAATGAAAGGTGCTATCAAATACACGTCAGTTTTGATATAATCAAGTATCAGACCATCAAGATACAAACCCTATAATACAAGCATTCATTTGAGTTGCGATAAGCACTTGATTCAATGACAGCCCCTGCTCTTGCACCCGAGCCAGCAAATAACGAAAGAGAACTTCCGGTCTGCACGCGTACTCTCTCGTGTACATAATTGTGACAGTCGTCCACAAACAGGTGTCGAAGCAGGTAATCTATGTCCTTTCCGTTGACAAGGAACCGCTCTCTAGGCTTTGTAGGGAGTTTGTATTTCACTGTCAGGGCAGTTCTAATATGCTTTTGTTTTTCTTATTAGCAGCTAGCTCC